GCCCCCGCACGGCCTGCTCAAGTCTCCGTCCGCGGCGGCGGCGGCGGCGGCGGCGGCCCCGCTGGCGGGCGGGGGCGGCGGCAGCGGGGGCGGGGGCGGCTTCCAGCACTGGGGCGGCATGCCCTGTCCCTGCAGCATGTGCCAGGTGCCGCCGCCGCACCACCACGTGTCGGCCATGGGCGCCGGCAGCCTGCCGCGCCTCACCTCCGACGCCAAGTGAGCTGCCGGCCGCCTGCGCGTTCTGGCGAACGGAGGGACCCGGGGGCTGCGGGGAAGCGAGGCCTGGCCGGCACTGGGGCCCGGGAGCTCAGTTCCCAAGATCACAGGACGTTGGGCTGGGGGTGGGGGTGGGGCGCAATGATGAGGACGTCAGCACTGGGGAACCGAAGCAATTGGGGGGCGCGCACCGGACAGTGGGGAGTGACAGGGCCGTGCGCTCTGGGTGCAGCCCTCTCTGGCTTTAAACAGCGCTGCTCCGAAAGAAACCATTGTAAAAGAAGGCTCTGCTGTGTGCACCCCTCCCGCGACCCCCCCCCCCCCCTCCCACTTCCAAAAAAAGTGATTCTTAAATTGGAGGTTTCTTCTAGGATGCGGGCCGCGCGCGCTCGGCCCTGGCAGCCCTCCGTTACATGGGGGAGGAGGAGGAGGAGGGAGGACCGCGTTGGGGACTTCCTCTCCTTCCTCCTTTCTTGGCGGGTAGGAGACTTGGGAGAAGCTGTATTCCAGGAGCGGCCGTCAGGCCTCGCCTTCAAGGGTCGTCTCTGGCCCTCAGCCAGGGGCTACGAGCTAGCTGAAAATTGGCACCCGGTACCAGAAGCGTTGACGGTCTCGTCCAATGTGGGTTAAACGACAACTGTCTGAGAACTACTGCGGTTCCTGCCTGTCGCCCCTATTGCTTTTGAGGGTGTGGTTTTGTTTTGTTTTGTTTTTTTTTTAATAAATCTATGTTCCGCATTCAACAATACAAGCAGGCCTTCTAGAAAGTCAGACTAGAACCACTTGTGGATTGGAATAATCTCAAACTGTCGACTTTGGGGGCGGTTTTTGTTTTTGTTTTTTGTTTTTGTTTTTGTTTTTGTTGTTTTCGGATAGACTCTCCCTCCCTGCCTCCCCATTCTTTCCGTCTGTAAGCACTAAGTGATTTGGTTTATTGCCCGACTGGGGGCAGTCATTCTGATACCCGAGGGTTTGACGGAACTCAAAGGCTGTTGCTGTGAATGTGGTTGGAGTTACCTGGGAGTTCTGTTGGCTTTTGAGGTTTTTCTTTCTCGGGTGTGTAAATATATTATCAGTAATGAGGCCAGTGCTGCTGCGAAGCTGTTTGCTCACGTGACTGCCAGCCCCACCGGAGTCTGAGCCTGGCCTCCTATATGTCGGTTTCTTTTTGCCACGTTTAACACGAATGACAAACTCTCCCACGTGCTTCTCGCGGCCTCCGAGAACTGCCTGGGCGCCTCCCGCGCGTTGCGGTACCGGGCTTTACAGCGTCTGCCGCGTAACATCTCTCCTCCGCTCGCGGTCCTGCAGAGTGTATCATCTGTTTTATTTTTGTAAAAAGAAAAAAAAAAGTGCTAAATAATATTTATTACTTGTTTGGTTGCAAAAACGAAATAAATGATCGAGTGTTGAGATTTTAAATAAAAGTGACAAGTCCGTCGGCTGTTTGCGAGCCGCGTGGGTGGGGGGAGGTGCAGGGCGCCAGCCCTCGGAGCCGGATTTGGGAACCATCTCGTGGGTTCCACCCTGGAGAAAGATTAAGGGGTCGTTGGACTATTCTCCCCGCGCCAACCCCCACCCCACCCCCACCCCCACCCCCACCAACAGGGTGTTTCTCACACGTCTCTTGTTAATTTGATTTTCCGACGCCTAATCCGGAACTTTTTTTTTTTCTTTTCCCTGCGGTTGAGGATTGAGTTTGTTGAAAGTGAACATGCCTCTCCTTGCGCGGAATTTGGGGCCTCCGGGGCAAGGGCCTTGCCTTGGGCTGGCTGGGGTCCCGGCGCTGAGGCCTCCCGTCCTACCAGGATTTTTTTTTCTTTCGGCTCAGAGGCAGTCGCCCACCCCCCATCCCGCTGGGGGAGGGGGGACTCCTTGGGCTTCGGCTGCAGACCGGCCACTTGGGGCCCCGGGTCCGGACAGAGCCCCGCGGGAGCGCGGGGCGCGGGATCCGCTAACCCTTCTCTCCTTTCCTCGCGCTGTGCACGACCCCACCCAGGCGCCCACGCCGGCCTTGAACTGCAAAGTGTTAGGTGCTGGGAACGGCCAGCCTGGAGTGAGACTCTGACCAGCGCGCTTTGGCCTCCATGCTCTTCCCCCCCCCCCCCCCAGGGCCACCTCTGTCTTCTTGTGGCCACTGGGATCCTCACAACCCAAAGTTGCGATACAAACTTAGGTCTTGGGTAAAAAAATAAATAAATAAAGAGATTCTGGGTAAAAAGGAAAAAGCTTCAGCCTTCCTGGTCAGGGAGGATAGACCACTTTGCAATGTCTCAGCCTGCGGGCTTCAGGGAGAACGCGCCCCCAGGAGAGCAGCGGCTGGTGCGGACGCAGTGGGTTCCCTGGCCCGGGGCCCTCTTGCCTACAACGTCTTTGGTGGCCTTTGGCGGAAGGTCCCTGTACCTGGGACACCTGGGGGTGGAGAAGGTTTCCCTGGTTGTAGGCTCATTTTTTGAGGTCCCTGATCCCGACCCATGCCGACTCTCCCTGCCCAGGACTGAGGGTGGGTCCATCCCCCAGCTTGGGGACAGGTGCTTTTGGTGCCCAGCAGGTGCATGGAGCTGCTGGCCTGAACCGCAGGCGGCTAGGGGTCCGGTGCAGGAGGACTCCTTTCGGCTCTGCTTTTCACCGAAGCCTGAGAGGAGGCAGAGCAGCTGGGGAGAAAGAAAGAGGGGGACAGGGTTCCTGGCCCCCCCCCCCCCACGAGAATCCAGGAAGAGAGTAGGGCCGGTTCAAGTAGCTTTTATTTCCAAATCCCGTTTGAAATGAAATTTGTTAAGAATTCAAAACTGGGTCTGGCTCCAGCGGGGGTTGCGGGGGGTGGGGAGAGGATTGGCTGGGACTCTGATGGTGGGGACCCGAGAACCCAGCGCCACTGGGGCTGGGTGGGGGCTGGGTTGCAGCAGCGGCTTCCTTCACCAACCCTAAGCCTTGGAGGGTACCCGTGCCTGTGCCTGGTGTACGTGGTGGATGTAGAGAGGCACGTAATAGGAAAGGAAATAAATCAAGTCTCTCCCCCTCCCCTCCCAGACCCAAGTTCACCCAGCCAGGGCTAGCCCTGGGCCCCCCAGGAAGGAGGGGTTGGATCCCTGCCCTTCCCGGAGTCACCCCGCCTAAACTGCGTGCCCCATCAGGGATCCCGGTCTCCACGGTCACCACGTGTGAGAGAGGAGCATCCTCAGACACTGCAGAGGCGCACACAGGTGAACTAGAGTGGATATTGCTGCCCAGGGCAGGTGGCTCCTGGAGGGAGGGTGGCCCTGGACTGGCGGGGACCTGGGGGGGGGGGGGGACTCCGGATGGGGCCTGGGCTTCCGAGTAGCACTGGAGAAGATATTATGAAAACCCTCAGACTTCCAAGGACCCTTCATTGGGGAGAACCCCCCCCCTCCCCCCCCCCAAGTGAGAGAGGGGAAGGGAAAAGGAAGTAGAGTAACAGTCCTGGCCTGGCCCGGTCCGCTGGGCTCTGTCCCAGCCTCTCTGGCAGCATTAGACCAGAGGTTCCGTCCTGCACTGAACCACAGCTCAGCTTCCCCACCCTCCACGTGGCCCCCTGGTTTCCCAGCTCTCAGCCGCAGAGCCAGGGACTTCTGTCTCCAGACCCCAAGGTCTCTGAGATAATCCCCAGTCGCCCACAAGAGCTCACCTTAAGGGACAGAGTCCCCTCCAAGGTCTCTATGCTCCAGGGCCCTGTCCTCCCTCCTCACTCTACTGGGCAGGAGTCACAGATACGATGATTCCCTGGACATACTGTTGGAGGGCTTGCCAAAATTCCTTGGGTGCTGCTGGCTGGCTGTCTGGGGGCACCCAGAGAGCTGAAGCTCTACATTCTTGGGACAGCAAGCTGAGGGACAAAGCATTCCCTCAGACTAATGTTCGTCTAGGTCTGGAAAGGTGTTGCTGAGACCCAAGGTGCCACGCCCAATAAAGATGGCTATAGGAAGACCTAAGCACCGGGGACACCCATGGCAGTCCGGGGGCGGGGGACAGCCCAGCATGTAGGACCTCTCCTTTCATTCCCAGACCGGAACCAATGAAGGCTAGATGCTCTGGGGCCAGCACATTGGATTTTAAAGCCCCTTAGACGCTCTAAGGGTGGAAGAATTGTCTGTCTGCTTCCCTTTGAGCAGAATGGACCGCCTGAACTCCTTCCATTACGTGAACACCTTGTGCCCCCCCCCACAGAAGTTCATCTAAAGCAAAGGATCCTCTATACCCGCCCACCTCTCATTGTAAGTCCCTCTTTTAGTACAGACTTTGGGCCACTTTCTGTTTCCCAGTGGCTCCCAGTACTAGTAGGGATTCGGAGTGGGGAGGGATCTTTGACAGGGGCCCTACACCAAGGGTCTCAAGACCCCTGGCTGGTGACAGACCGTCCCCCGGCCTGATGGTTCTTAGGATAAATGGTTGCTTCATTGAATCCCACCCTGGCTAGGGAGAAGGACCTTTGGAACAGCGAAGGTTGGCATACTTCTCCTTGGTTTGGAGGCTGCAGGCAGCCCATGGGCTAGATCCTGGGGCTAACCTCCCTGCTCCCTGTCAGAGCGAGGGGTCTCCCCCCCCCCTCCCCGGCAGGACAGAGATGGAGACCTAAGGGGGCTGGGACATGGGGGGCCAGATCTCTAAGGATTCCCCAGAGCTCTCATCCCTAATCCCCATCTCTCTCTTAGGGACCACCTCATTGCAACAGGACCTCGAGGTCGGTCCCAGGTTCATGGGAGGAGGGGCCTCTGCATTGAGGAGCACATGTGGCCTATCTGGGAGCAAGGAGGCTGCGCCGGGCGTCTCTGGGGAGTTGAGGATACTAAGACAGGCAGAGGAGGCTGGAAGAGGAGACGCCAACGGGTATCACAGGTTCTTTGGTACAGAGCACCGCGCTGAGAGCTGTAGTGTGTTATCAATTCATTCAATTCTCACCGTAGCCCTTCGGCGATGGTGTTATTATCACTGCATTTCACAGGTGAGGAGACTGAGGCTCAGGGAGGGTGTGAATCGCTCAGGAGCGCAGGCGGCAAAGTTGGACTCTGCCGGGCTCCAGAGCCCACGTTTCCGAGCTCATCTCACCCATCCCCTTCGCCCCCCCTCCACCTCCACCCCGCATTAAAGCCCCAGACTCTCTTAGCCGCTGCCTGGGAAACCCTCGCAGCTCCCGACCCCACTCCCCCCCCCCCCCCCCCCCCCCCCCCCCCCACACGCCCCCGCTCTCTTGGGTGACGCTCCCAATGCTCCCTCTTTGTGCCTGGACCCATCTGTCCCTGATGCCCCCATCTGGGTGGCTGGTGATGGCAAAGCCTTCGATAATTAGCGGGCTGGGGTGGGCGCGGGGCGCGGGCGGAGGAAGGGCCAGAGCAGGTGAGCTGAGCGGTCCCTGTCTGAGGGCGCCCGGCAGCGCCGACAGTCACTGTGCTTCGTGCCCACACAGCTGCCGTAGCCCTGACCCAGTGGTGCAGTCTACACCCCGTGCCGTGTTTTCGGAAAGGAGTCGCAAACTGGAATGCCCGCTGCCTGGAGTGCCGCTTCTAGGTCTCAATGTCCCCTATCAGTACAGGATTCCCAGGGAAACACCTGCGTAGTCCCGCTGCCCGACATCCCCAGGTGGCGGTGGCAGCCGAGGGGAACTGGGGCGCTCTCCTCCCGGGGGACTTCGAGTACCCTTTGACCACACGCCGAGGGCCCCACAGACCAGCATGTGGGCCACGTTGGCCCGAGGGCTCCCAGTTTGCAACCCCTGAACGTGGCGCAGTTAACACGGCCCAGCCGGGTGCTGGGCTTGGAGGCTGCGTCTTTATTTGGGGTCCTCAGAACCGTGCCCCGGCGCCCCCGGATCTCGCGTGGGCAAAATGGGTAGGCGCAGACGGGTGGCCCGGTCCCCGCGGGACGCGCACCCCCCGGCCTCTGCAGGCCCGCCCCGCCCCGCCCTCCGGGTGCCCCAGCGCGGCCCACACCGCCGGGCTTGAAGTGGCTGCCTTGGACCGCGCGCGCGGTGGCTTTCGTTTGGGACCTTTGCTTCCCAGGCAGCCCCAGCGCCTCTGGGCCCATTGGTTGTGGCAGGGGTCGACCCCCAAGCCCCCACCCCGGAAGGGAGGCAGCCCGATCGAGGAGGAGGCGCCTAAGATCGCTTGGGGGCTGAACAGCTTCTGACCTGAGGAAGCTTCCGGGCCCCCAACACGGGCGAGGTTCAGGCACCCGCGTCCATCACCAGAGTCTCCGCTTGCAGGCTCATGCCCGCGAGTTCGCTCTCACTGATCCTCGGTCCTCGTAAACCCGTGAGGCTGGAACTTTGCAGCAGCGGCTGGGAGCCCTCTGGCCCTGCTGAGCTCTGGATGCTGGATGAACCAGACAGACCCAGGGGAGCGCTGTTTACCTCTTCCCTCCCTGATTGACCTGAGAATCCAAATGCATCCCTGTCCAGGTGCTTCTAGGCGTCCTAGGACGCAC